GAGAGAGAGAGAGAGGAATGTACGTAGAAATAGATGATTCACAAACTGCTCTTTTATCATTTTCTATCGTCACTGATAACACATGAAATGTCTCGAAATGCGTGTCATAAATTTATGTCGAGATATCGGTCGGATAAACGCCATGAAATAAATTCCATTTTTTTTGGTGCTAAAATATTTTCACGGTATTTTGCGAATTATGCGAGAAAGGATTGGCGAATTCAACGATATCTACCTCGGGATGCCGCGAACGTCACTCGCTTTCGATTATTTACACTTGATTTAAATGTAATTACCTTGAAAAGGAACAGCCCTGTTTCGAAATTCCTGTAGATTTTTACTTTGGATGTCTTTAGATTGTAGTACAACCTGCGAACAATGCAACAAGGTATGTACAATGCGTTTCTCAACGGTTTTGCATTTTATTGTTATTTTATTGTTATTTTCGGCGTATTTTCAAGCATTCCGCGATAATGAACCAGAGAGGGGGGGGGGCTTTGTTAAAATTATCTCGCGGAAATTTTCTCCAAAAGCTCGCCAATCTCAATTCCCAAATTATTATAATTCGACCGTGGAAACAATTCGCTAATCGATACTTGTTTAATATGTAAGACGATATGGAAAGATAATCGAGCAGTTTGTTTCATCAAAGAAAATTGTAGAAGAAACATTACATCTCCATTTGGCTTTCATTTTGCACGAATAAATTATACCGAGATATTTATTTAACTAAGCTTTTCGCCAGAGTCGCCCAATTGCCGTCATTATTAGAATAATGCTTCTATTAGCGAAGTAATGAAAACAGAGCTTCGTAGTTCACATAGAGTTGGATATATTGTAAAAGATCATCTCATGCAACATAATATCGCAGCACACATTTTCATTCATGCCAGGACTCATTTACATATTTTATGTAAGAATGGCATCTTTTTTACATGACAAATGCAATTATTACATTCGTGCATACATAGAAAGAACGGTTGTGCCAAAATATCTAAAAGTTTAACAAGCTATAGATCTGAAAATAAGTTTTTTGAGCTATCACAATTATTATGTAGCTTAAACCTAATAAAAATACTTGTTGCAAAAGTTGTTTATCTTTAAATAATTATCAATTTGAATACATACATTTATACATTTCCTACATAATTATTTTGATGGCTCAACAAAATTTTCAAATCAGTATCTCATCAAATTTTTAAATATTTTAACAAAACTGTTCTTTCCACGCATACAAAGTCATCTTGATCATTTTCAATAATGCGTAAACTATGTGTTTCATAAAAAAATGATTTAAAAAAAAATTTGCATGCTCTCAAAGGGAATTCAAAAAATACAGTAATCTAGTTTTATTTTCTATTTATTACGCGACGAAAAATAATTTGTTAAGTTTTGTTAAAGTGTTTAAAAAAAT